AGTTGCTTCTCTGTCCAATTGGCTATAGTTGCGCTCTGCAGCAGTGAGGGATCTGCTGGCAAATACAATAGGCCTCTCTTCATTATTTGGCATTTTATGAGACAGCACAGCTGATAAGCCAACAGGGCTAGCATCTGTAGCAAGTATCACGGGTAAGTCTGGGTTGTATGGAGTAAGGACTGTGTCACTTGCTATCTCTTCTTTAACACAAGTAAAAGCTTTTTCACATTCCTGGGACCAGTGAAAACGTTTTTCTTTCCTTAGAAGCTGATGTAAGGGATTTAGCAGTGTAGATGCATCTTTGATGAACTTTGAATAGTACTGTACTAGTCCAAGGAATTGACGCACTCCTGTGATATTTGTTGGACGGGGAGCATCCTGGATTGCCCTCACCTTTTCTGGTGATTTCTGGATACCGTCTTTGCTGATGATATGACCCAGATACTGCACCTTTCTCTCAAAAAACTTGCATTTTTCAACATTCACATGTAGATTGTGTTGTTCCAATTTTTCTAAGACCTTTATGAGCCTGGATTTGCATTCTTCAAAAGTGCAGCCTTGTACAACAATATCATCAAAATAAGCCACTGTCCCTTCAAGATTTTGTACGACTTGGTCAATAAATTTATGAAATTCATTTGGGGCAGTCTTAATTCCGAAAAACAGTCTTTTTGCTAGATATGTATACTTATGTGTGGTAATTGTCTGGATTTTAGAACTTTCAGAGTCCACTGAAAGATGTAAATAAGCCTTGTAAATGTCTAAAGTGCAAAAATAGTTTCCATTTCTCATTTTGTTAAGGATATCCTCTATTCTTGGTATTGGATAACGACTGTCATGTAGTTGTTGGTTCACAGTTACCTTGTAATCCGCGCAAATACGGACCGCTCCATTTGCTTTTGGAATCACAACAATCGGCGTTCCCCACTCAGTTTGATCCACTTTCTCTATTACGTCTTCTTTTTCAAGTTTATCTAGTTCATTCTCAACAGCTTCTCGAAGAGCATGAGGTACTGGTCTGGGTTTTAAGTACACAGGTCTTGAATTATCCTTTAGTTTTAAAGAGCATGTAAAGTTGGGTGTTTTACCAATGCATTGTTCAAAAACGCTTGAGAATCTTTGCTTGATAGATTTGACAACAGTGTTGGTATCAACCTCTGGTTTCTTCATATTAACAAGATTAATATTGTGTAAGTTAATTTTCAATTTTCGAATCCAATCCCTTCCAAGAATAGCGTTTTTAGGTAGATTTACAATGTATAGATCCTCTCTGCAAGATCTCCCTTCGTAAGATATGCTTAGGGTACAGACCCCTATTGGTTTGAAAATTTGTCCAGTATAAGATCGAAAAAGAGCACTTGTTTTGCAAACTGGAACATGTAAGTCTAGTTTCTTGAAGTCATCATTATTTATTATGCTAACACGACTTCCAGAATCACACTCAAAACGTTGCTGTTTACCATTTAGAGATACGTTAATCATCATTCTGTCATCTCGAAGTCTAACATAAAAACATTTAAGAGAATGACACTATTCATGTACTTTGTGCTTCAATGAATAAAGAAATATTGAATTGAATTGAATCTCTTTCGTCATTCTTCAATACATTTATGATCCGTTGAACGTCGTATTCATATTCAGAATCAATTTCATCAACTCTTTTTACATTTTTCTCTGAAGACTGTAATTCCTGTATTCGTTTCGCTATGCAAACCTTTTCTATGTGTCCATCTTTATGACAATACCTGCAATTTAGTTCATCTATTAATCGGCAATTTTGTGTTTCGTGGTTATTCCTTCCACAGTGCAAACAGACATCTAAAAGTCCCAGTCTTTGTAGCCTTTTGTTTTTCCTGTCTTTCTTTTTGCTTGAGTCATTAGAGAAATGGTTTTTTGTTGAGAAACTTTTATTCTTAGGGCCGATATTGATCTTTGTTGTTTTACTTATTTTGTGAATGTCATTCTGGTTATTACTAGTATATAAAATCTGGTTGTCAAGTTTTGATGCCTCTATAGCCAAGGCGATTTCTAAGGCTTTGTCAAATGATATTTCCCCCAGTTGTAAGAGTTTTTCTCTGATGTCCGAGTCATATAAGCCTCTGATGAATTGAGCCCTGAGCATGAGGTTTATAACTGATTTTGTACATTATCCTTCTTTACACCCAGATTTGAAATCTGCTGAACAAGCCAGTTGTTTGAGGACTGTGACATAATTTGTGATTGATTCATTTCCATCTTGTAAACGGGATAAGAATTTGTGCTGTTCTGTAAGTATGTTCTTCTTTGGGCTTAGGTGCTCATTTAGTAATATCAGTAATTCTTGATATGTTTTTGAGTCTGGTTTGTCTGGAGATGTTAGACTACAGATCAGATTGTAGTGCTTAGCAAACGTTTCCTTACTTTCATCATAAGCATCAAACATCAAGGCATTGCTCTGTAGTAGGTCCTTGGTACTATGTTTTGATCTAGGCTGTTCTGTCTGTTGACTTGTATGTTGTGTCATTATTGTCATAAAACTGTTCAAAGTAGATATAAGGTCTTGTATTTCAGTCATTTTCTTCCTCGTCGCCAAATTATTAGATATAAAAATAATACAAAATATATGAACACAACTCTTGATACATGTTTATTTCTTAATAATAAATGTAAACATTGAATTATTTACAATATGAAATTATTCCAGTCATATGATCAATATTAAATAAAAGATAGATTATTTGGAATATATAACAATACACAAACTCGACAAAGGGATGGATGACAAAAACTCTTTTTTCGGAATGGTTTCATAAAACTTTTGTTCCATCGGTAAAAAAGTTTTTGAAAACACAGAAACTGCTTCAAAAAGCCCTTTTGTTGCTCGATAATTGTCCTGGACTTCCAGATGAGGATGAGTTAAAAAGTAGGGATGGAAAAATCACTCGAGGGCCTAAGTCTAATACCACGTATCTTCAAAATATAGGGTTTTGAGATCTATAGTAAAAAAAATAGATTTCATTGTCCCTCACCTAATTCTAAAACCTCGTAAGTCTATAAAAATTGGAAATAATTTAAAAAAATGGGAAATGTAGACCTCGTATCTTGCAGTATTGGTAAACCTTCCTTCTAGCAACACGTATCTTGTATTGTTTACAGTGTGCAAAAGGTGGTCAGCTGTGCCGGTCTGTTATTGTTATGCAGTTTCATAGTGAAAAAGAGAATTTCAGTGTTCAAAATGTAGTAAATATAAGATAGAATTAACTCAGTTTTGTATATATGCAATTAGTTTATTTGTGGCTTTATTACAATTTATGTAATACGTTGTCATAAATCAGTGTTAAGATACGGGGTTTTAGAAGGAGGAATATTCTTATTGTAAAAATACGTTATAACTTGTTATAAAAATTATTGTATTAACTTTTTTGCTAAGGAATAATTTAATACTCTAATTTTTTCTGCAATACAATAAAATAGTAGTTATAACAATAAAGTTGTTATAATAAAAATGCTTAGTGTTTATTTAGCAATACCTCGTATTTTACAAATTGGTAATTCTAATAACTCGTATACCCAATTTCAATACCACGTAAGTTAACCCTCCAACTGGCACATTTAAAAAAAGTTTAATACAATACCTCGTATCTTACTTTTTTATATAATAACTCTTTTTAAATAATAAATAAACATAAGAAGTGGTTTGTTTTATCAAATTTAATAACTACATGTACATTCCTATAAAGTAATGAGCTGTTTCTCGTAAAACCATAATAATTACAACGTTTTTTTGCTCTCCTGTAAAGTAGGCATTTTCCTCATACGTGGTATTAGACTTAGGCCCTCGCACTGCTTTATTTTTGCCCCCAAATGTACCTCCGATACTCCAGCCCATGGACCAAAATGTGATCCAAACTATAAAAACAAATTATAGAAAACCCCTTTTGTACAATGTTTTGTCAAAAGAGGGGAGTGTTGTTACAGCTCTGAAGGAAACCAACATGAAAGATGTTGTTTTTAATCTTGCAAGCGCATGGGAAAAACTTGCAACAAAAACAATTGTTTGTTCATGGGCCAAGTTGTGGCCTTCTCTTGATTTATTAGAGGATTACAGAAGACAATCAAATCCTCAAACGACAGTGATAACAGATGCTGAGCTAAATGACTTGAGAGAAGCAATAGCCGAACAGTTAGTAGACGATCCAGAAGATCTGACATCAGTCGATGTTACCGCCTGGTTAGACGGTGCAGACGACGAGCAGTGTCAAATCATGACAGACGATGAGATCATCGAAGATGTTCTAGACGGCAGTGACGTGGAGGAGGGTGATGAGGAGGGCGGAGTGGGCGGAGCCAGTACATCGACAGCTGCAGCTGCACACACAGTCAACACGGATTCAGCGCTCTGTGCCTACGCAACTGCAATAGCTTGGGCGGAAGAAAACGGTGCTTCGGCTTCCGATATTATGACACTAAAGAGGCTCCAGGAAAATGTTTTAAAACTTTCTTTTAATGCAAAGAAGCAGAAAAATATTACAAACTATTTTGCGGTTGTTTTAAGTAGGTCTTACATGTAAAGTGTACAGTAGGCCTACAGTTCTGTAATTTTCATTTTGTACACGTTCAGTATTTAGTGATTATCTTTGTTCATTGTCTGATATTGTACTGTACGGTTGTTTGCTGTTTCATATCACTGTTTCTTTTTCACAATAATACATTAAACAACATTTCATTAGGCCTATACTGTACAGAAATTCAAATGATTGTTATCATAGTTTTTGTAAACAATAAAAATGTTGTTTATTGTAAAACCACTTCAATTTCTGATGCATTTCCACTAATCCGGCATTTTCCATAATCCGGCCCTACTAATCGCCATATAGGGCCGGATTAATGAGATCCTACTGTATAGATTATATTGAAACCAATGTTCACAGTTCTTCATGAAGATGTTTCACAGTTTATAAGGACATTTTTATTGTTTCATTGTGATACTTGAAATTTATATCACATTTTTCAAATTTCAGGTGAAGACTTATCCAATGGAGAAGAGATTTCAGAGGTAAGGTATTGAATTTTACACTTCATCTTAAGTTGTGTTGTTTCCACAAGCTGTTTATCTACCAATTTTTCCTTTGGCAACATTTAGTTTAACACGTTCGCTACCGCAATAGTACAAAATGTTTCATTCATATGGACCAGCAACCCACTTATGCGACGGCTGGTTTCTTTCCATAGTCGCATGCGGCGGCTAGTCACTATAAAATAGACTGACATCGCATATTTGCATCAGTTTTCCAATGTTATCAAAACGTTTATATCTTTGTAACAGTCTATTTGAAGGCCCTGAATTCTCTGCAGCGGTCTACAGCGATGTCTGTCGCACAATTGCGTCAGTTGTGGTCTGTGGATATGATGATTGGTGACGTCATATGATAGTTGGAAAAACTGTTTTTTATAACTGTATGTATGTACTAGTGGCTTGGATAGGGACATAAGTCCCTAAAAAGCTCAATAATATAAAACAAATTATTCTAATATTCAAACAAACTAAGAAATATATTATCTATGTGTGCGAATAGATAGCCCTGTACGCCATATCTTTTGTGTAAACAACAGTTTGTTGTTTGTCTTTGTTGGTGTTATTTTCAATAAATCATTTTAATCACTACATAGGTTTGACTCTGCTAAAGGTAGCAAACATATAATTGTTTGTGAATAAATACTGGTTTATTAAGGTAGCTTTGGTTAATATTTCTAAGTTTATACTCCTTTTGTTAAGGTTTAACAACATTAGTGTAAAGTAAAGGCATCCCATTGACCAAACTTAACCCTAGATCTTTTCTGATCAACATAAAAAACTACATTTAGTATAAGTTTATGTGGTGGTATTGCTTTTAAAGGTGGGATTGACGGTACATAATATCCTATCAAATTAGGCCTAATCATCGGCTGATTCTTAACTCTTTTGCGAGCAACAGACGGTACCTGTTTAAAATCTCCAAACAATATTATTTTTCCTCCCACTGGAACTTGTCTGAACTTGTCATAGTAGTTACTTACTCAACAAATATATATTTACTGTAGGCCTACAAACCTATTTTTTTTTTCTTTATTCCTGGGTTATTTTCTAAGAGTAGCCGTTTAGGTTATTCCACATCCACATCATACAAAATATTGATTAAACACTACAATAAATCTAAAATTGAAAATAAAGAAAGTGTAGAATAAATCTGGAACATATGTTTTGAAATAAAAACAAAGCAGAAGTTCTCCAATCTTGAATTGTTAATTATTTAGTCAATGTGGTTATTTCATGTTAAATGTTAAAAATACACAAATTTGAAAAATTTTACAGTAAAATAATTTATTTCCACATTCGTAACTGTCTTAATTATTATGGGTACTATCACTGGTTTTATATAGTACTAGCTGTACTCGCGGGCTTTGCCCCGTTTTACTTCATAAGTGAGCTCGTTCGCATGGCTCAATCACGTCTTGGTTGAAGTTCGTTCGCTACGCTCACTCACCTTTTGGTTGCAAATAAGCTGTTGTCATAAATAAAAAAAATAAATAAATAATAGTGCTGCACCTTGTTGGTAGTCCTTGTAACTTTAATGGTATTGCACATCATAGAACAGAACCAACTTGTTTAATTGAAACAGCTGTTAAGATTAATTAATTCCATTTAAATATGAGTACTCATAAGGTTAACATGGGAAACTCCAGAGCCACTGGGGTGGAGCCCGAGAGTCCGATCAGAATAAAAACAACTTAGTTTTCCTATTTAATGCCTAAAGAATCAGTGTACCAAATTTCAGCCTCCTAGGTAAATGGGAAGTGGGAGAATTAGTGATGAGTGAGTGAGTCAGTCAGTCAGTCAGTCAGTCAGTCAGTCAGTGAGGGCTTTGCCTTTTATATATATAGATATTGCAGAATTGACTGGCAATTAAGTAATCCAAATGTTAACATTGCGTACTGGCTTGATGCTAAATCACGATCAGCTGTATTGAAGTAAACAAAATTCAGCAGCAACTGGCTTCTAATGGTATTATTATGGAGAACATTTTACGTTATATCTCGTTTTTTGGTAACTTTATGGGAATTCTGCAATTTTTTCCGAGTCCCTGGGGTCAATACCTTTAATTTAAGACCTCTCTCACTTTTCTGCGACTTACCAGACGTCCACAATTTTCTGGTAAAAAATTTGTCTTACAGAATTATTTATAAGGATGCTGTATGTATGCTGCATTATCCTATGTAGCTTTTATATTTGTTCAGTTATAAACAGTTCTTAAAAAATCTGTTTTTATTACTTACTTTCACCTAAGTAAAAACATAAACAAAAATGAATTGTCATGTATGTTCGGCGTTTGTGCTATTTCAAGAAAAATATTGTGATTTTATTTAACTATTGTCTTTGCTATAGACCGGGCGTCGCAAATATGCAACATTACAAAAGGTTATTATACAAAATATAAAAAAGCAAGAATATATTACTTACAAACACGATTGCAGTACAATGTAAATGATCGCTGTTTCACAGGTTTTCACCTGTGGTCTGGGTGTACTGTTAACCACTCCTTATTTGTCTAGTCTATGTGAAACGTAATTATAAAAATCTTACGCTGTCAAATCAGGTCCATGACCCCTTTACCAGGACAAGTCACAAAATATTTATTGATAGATTTAGGCTTAGTAAAACCTCAAAATCATTTAAAGTCATGAGTGTTAGGCTGTTTAACAAACTACCTAGTAAAGGACAAACAGCAAATGTGTAAGATTAAATTGTATACCTCGGTCTGTGGCAATGACCGGGGCGTCGCATATATGCAACGCTCGGTAACGAACGTGTTAAAACATTAAAACCAAATAAATACTAAACCATTTCTATATTTAAGTTTGCTTGGCATCAACATTTACGTTCAAACCTCATTTTATGCAGGGTTCCGACATACCTGGAAATTCAGGTTAAGTCAAGGAAACAGGTATAAGGTCAGGGATTTTTTTTTTAAGTGGAAAGTCAGGGGAATTTTTTTTTAAATTTTGTAGACAGATAAATTAACTAAAAACTGTTATACATTGTGTTAACTTGTTTGGTTGATTAGTTAAGTTTTGTTGAACTGAGATAGTTGCTTGAAAGATTAAAGTTCTAAAAAATCTGTGTGGTACGTAATTTTTATCACAAACTTTTTGTATTTTTTAGAGCCGTAAGTATTTAGAATTTGATTTCTTATTTGGAATTGTATTAATAAATACCCCCTCCGCAGTAAACCTGCAGACTAAGCGAATTTCCATTTACCTGGCCGAATTTCTATTAATATTTCCTTCAAATTGTCAGATTTATTTCCTATTCAGATAACATTAGTAAATAATTAATAAGTACAGTACACTCTCAACTATCCGAGCCCTGGTTACCCGAACCCCGGGGTTATCCGAGGTTGTTGTCATCATTTCTAATATCCTTGATATTACAACTTTGATCAGCTGTCCTGGTTCCTATGCAAATTTAACTTGTTTAATTGTGTTATTCTGTAATGTTGGTTTTACTGAAATAAAGCCTTAGAATTTGTAAAAGGTTTATTCATTATTTCAAAAATTTATTTGAGTAAAATAAATCAAATGGAGAAAATATTAAAACCACAACTTCTAGATATCAATCCGGATTCTCCAACAGCAAAAAAAGAATTTTCTCACTGGATTAAAACTTTCCAAAACTATGTTAACATTGCTAAAGTTTCAAATGAAGATGTTTTGAAAGTACTAATCAATGCTATGTCTTATAAGACATTTGAATTCATTGAATACGAAGAAGTTATCAAGATATTAAAAGTGATATATTGCAAATCTCCTAACGTAATTTTTGCAAGACACAAACTAGCTACAAGAAAACAGAATTCAAATGAAAACATTCAACAATATGTCCAAGCTTTGAAGTCATTAAGTAAAGACTGTGAATTCAAATCTGTAACTTCAGAACAAAACCGACGCGCCTATATACGAGATGCATTCATAAATGGTTAACTATTCGACAACGGCTCTTGGAAAGCAAACAATTAGAACTTCAAGATGCTATTAATCAATCTCTAGCTCTAGAAATGGCTCAGAATAATGCCCAAGTTTATGATAAATACAGAAATCATACTATTAGTGAAGTACTAAATGCAATTCCTAAGGCAAGTCAAAGTATAAAGGAGGAAGAAAATGTAATTCAGTCAGAAAGTTCAAAAATGTTAGCTGCTGCTTAGTCTGGGTGCTTCTTCTGTGACCACAGCGTCATCCTCATTCAGTATGTCCAGCAAAAGATGTCACTTTACATTGTTGTGGTAAAAAAGGTCACTTCTCAAAGGTAAACAAAAATTTAGTCAAAACAATAAAGTGTCTGCTTTTCACAGCTAATATTACTGCCACTGGACCTGCTTACTTGTCAAAAGCTGTCATCTCAGCCAGAGTAAATGGTAGACATGCTAACTCTTTAATTGATACTGGTAGTTCTGATAGCTACATAAATCATGATTTTGTTTTAAAACACGGAATTAAAGTAATACCTGGAAGTGGCCAGGTTTCTATGGCTACTACAACTTTGACGTCTAAAGTATTAGGCTACGTATTAGTAGACTTACATATTCAAGATCATACGTACAATGGTTTTAAGTTGTCAATTTTGCCTCAGTTATGTGCAGATGTATTACTCGGCTATGATCTCATGTAGTATCACTAAAACATATTTCAGTAATAAAAATGATTCTTTTAAATGTTAGAACCAAACAGTATTTTTATTATCATAGGAAAAAAATGTAAACATAACATTTTACAGCTGTTTTAGATAAATGTTAATAAGACAGGTTATTGGAATATATTACAGTCTTCCCCACACAACAGACAGACCACACAATTCACAAGTTTAATCTAACAACTGGCCGACGGGTCCTTGTAGACCTTTTTGGTTCGACTTGTGGAAGAGGATCAACTGGATGAGGTTCAACTTGTTGCTGCCGAGTATGCTCATTTTCATCATCAAGGTGCACTTGTGGCGCATGCTCATTTTCATCATCAAAGTGT